AGGGATGCGAAGTTTACCCCAGCTACAGGTTCAATCACCACCCCAAGCCCTTCTTTTACCCATCGATACCCCCACCCCAACACTATACTTTCCTAGAGACCCAGAAGTTAGCCACCTTAGTGTCCACCCCTCCGGTACTGCCAGTCTCGTGTCCACTGATCCCCTTTTACAAGGAACTAAGCTTAAATACTGAACTATGGCCTCTTTAGCAAATTATAATAATGATGCCTACATGGCATCAGAGGGGGGAAATTGTGGGGAAAAAGAACTAGGTGGCCTTCTTTATGGCAGCCAAAGTAACACCAAAGGCCCAAATTCAGGCCCTCTGACAGAGGCTGACTATATAGACTGCCTTTACATAGAACAGTACAGGCCAAGGCCTGAACAAAACTAAGCTGTACAATTCCCTGCCAAATACGGTCATGGGCCACGACCAGAGGAGGGAGGGGAAGGAAGCCATGCGAAAGGCCTTAGCAACATGATAAGCGCTTGTTGATGAAAAACATGATAACCACTTGTTGATGAAACATTATAACGGCTTACATGAAGAAATTGCTTCTAGTAAAGGCCAACTTCTCCTATAGTTCCAGCTATCTGCCAACCAGCTAATCATATATCATCTTTGGGCGTCCCGTAATAAACCCCTACGACCCCGGAAAAAAATATGTACCCTGACGAGAACAACACTCCAACTGGTGCCAAGTACCACCCATGTCAGAAACCACCAAGAAATCCCCCACCCAATAGGCACCCAATTCTCATAAATAATGAGGAAGCTGCCGGGAAAAAGGGACAGACCCCAACCCTTATTTTCGCATAAATGACGTATTATTTGTACTATGCTTGCGGTTTGACGGAATAAAGGCAGCCTGCGCGCTGTGCTAGGCGTGGTAGTTTTCGGACTGCTACCCCAACGCGTTGGCATGGTTTGCAATAAACTGGCCTCAGGCTTGAGTCTGTGAACTAAAATCAATGCGTGGGTGACTTTTTCCACGACAAATGTTTAGAGGGGGAGGCTGGGTTTCAGGACTCCTGGGTTCTATCGTTGGCTCTGGGAGGGGAGTGGGGTGTAGTGGTTAGTGGGGGAGGCTGGGTGTCAGGACTATTGAGATCTATTCTAGGTGCTCAGGGGAGACAGGCATCCGCTGCCTCTGGAGCCGCTCAGGCCTGTGTCACCCCAGAGTGGAGTCCCCCGCGCTGCCCAGCGGCACTTACCTCCCAGCACGAGGCAGAACAGGGCAGACGCTGCGAGGAGCAGAGCGTGGGCCATGCTGGGCTCCTCTGGGTCGGGTAGGCACAGACTCAGGGA